ACACACACACACACACACACACACACACACACACACACACACACACACACACACACACAACATTTCCACAAAATCAATATTCAAACACAGGAAGACTTGTAAATGCGATGAAGCACATTTATAAATTTATACCTGCTTCATTTTTTATATGTTTTGTATTTTATATATTATTTTTTAGACATTATTACGTCACATCTCCATGTAATGATTATGATTATTTTTTTGTTGTTTACTAGTATTTTCTCAATTTATTGTGCAGTCTCTAAATGTCTGTCCAAAGCTTCCAAAAATGACTTATAAAACCCAGAAACAGCTAGAAATGTATGAAATTAAGAGTTAAGACGCTAAAGAGTGTGATATTTCTATTAAAAATATTTAAAATTGTTACTATTTAATTTTCTGGTGGTTGAATACTAAATTGGTATACTAATGACTTTTTCATTTTCAATGCTTTAGGTTCATAGTTTCGTTTATTTATGTACAACGTCATTGATGTCCTACACTGCACAGATTTTCAACCACGCTTTTATTGTGAAAAGTGGATTAGAGATCAATGATTATTTTTATTACAAATAGAGAAACTACCCCACTTTCATAAAGCTATTTTAATGTCCGCTTGACATTAACATTTAGATTTATGAGTGCAATCTCCATAAACATTTTAGATTTTTGCTTAAATAAAATTTGCATAGCGGTGCAGACAAAGTGATCTGCATGAAAACGATATATTCTCAGAGATTTTACGTTTATGTTGGTACTCCCCAGGTGCTAATTAGAGATGTCGATTCACTGATTGATGTGTTAATTAAACTACATAATGGCCTTATTATCATAATAGGTTGTGTGTTTTTAATGCCTTTGTGATTATGAAGTGTCATTTTGTAGCTTAATTGCCTTTTGTTTTCAATAGTAAATGTTCTATTTGCACATTTGCCTCTGATCTACGTGTACTCTGGGCTAATTATACATTTTCGGTATGTTAATGATTAATCCTTTCGCATTAAGACATAAAAGGTCTTAATTTTCTCCCCCGTCTCCCTCTGTGTTCCCCCTCATTTCCTGTCCATCCAGGAGGGCCAGCAACTGATCCAGGAGAAGCCGGAGCTCAGCCCGGTGGTGCGGAAGAAGCTGGAGGAGATCAGGGAGTGCTGGCAGGATCTGGAGAGCACCACTCAGGCAAAAGCCCGCCAGCTTTTTGAAGCCAACAAGGCCGACCTGCTGGTGCAGAGTTACGAAAGCCTCGACCAGAGACTGGGCCAGCTCGAGGGTCAACTGGCCTACGTCGACCAGGGACAGGACCTCACCACCGTCAACAAGCAGCTCAAAAAACTGCATGTACGTAACATTCAAGTGGTTTTTGGCACATTGCTGCAGCCATTTCACCCACAGATGTGTTCCTCTAACCTCTGAAGTGGCTTAAGTTATGATTTCTTTGTACAAAGATGCTTTTTCTGTTTCATCTGTCAGGTAGTGAGTTCTTGGTTTCCAGAGTTTAGACTTTTATTGAATTTTAACCTGATAATAATAAATATTTAACTGTAAATGAACAGAAAATCAAATTAACTGAGGTTTATCCTTATATAACTGTATTCTTGGGTGGATTTTTTTTGGGGAGTTTTGGGGTTTTTTCTTAGTTTTTCTGTAGTTTTAGCCCAGTTTTGCCCTAAACTGTTAACGTAATTCTGCATCTTTGCTTCCTTGCATGTTGAACCATCTCAGAGTGAATCACTGTTTACGTTATTGTCGCTACACAGAGATGGCCTCAGCTCATTAATATTCAAACAAAACCTCATGTTTGAAAATGACTAACAGCAACATTTCTCGCTGCGCCTGCACAGCTTTCTGTTTGCTTTCCATCTCATTTCAGCAAAGTCAGCTTCTCATAAGTTCGCGCCAGCATTAATCTTTAATTTGCACTGATGGTTTTTGGACACAACGTAAGCCGTCAGTGTTCGTGCAAGCCAGGTGAGCTTTAACACAAGTCTCATCCCAAGATCATTTTACAAATACAGACGGTGACAAGTTTTTAATATGTTCACATATAGTTGCCAGTATCATGCTGGTTGTTCTGCCTGGTTAAAGGCTGATTGTTTGTGACTTATTGGACTCAATCTGTGTTTGTCGCGTATTTGGTTATTTTGTTATAATTTATTTATGGCACACACTAGCATTAAGGTAATAATTAATCTTCATTTATCTTCATTTTAAACACTAGACATCTGGTTCATGTATAATTCTATCAGCGTGAGAGATAAGCCCTCTGTAGTGGGAAAACTGATGTTTTATTGAGTAAAAATAGTAATCTGTGCTTATTCATAAACATGGCATCTGTGAGTGGATGCAGCTAGTGCTTATTTATTTGTAAGCACAATATACTCTAACTTTAGTAAGTTTCAATGTTCAGTTGACCCCTGTTACGTTTATTAGTACTAGTATCACTGTAGCTGTTTACTCCAGGTATTTTTAAATATTTGAAGAACGGTGTAGCACATCTTTTTCATAAGGCAAGTCAGAAAGGCAAACAGATCCAGTGTTGCAGCAGACGTCCACACACGGTTTACCATGAAAAAAGTGAAATTACTCTGGTCATGTGTTGCTGTGTGAGAAGTGAGTTGCAGGACAGAGAAACTAGCCTCAAAGCATCAGCTTTTAATGCTGTTGATGCAAAAGCTAAAGTCCAGAAGAATCCAAAATAAAGAGCAGGCTTTAAATGTCCAGAAAACATTAGAATTTCAGGAATATTAGAAGTTCAGGAACATGGAACAAGGGTACAGCAATGAGGGACCACTCGACAAAGCACAAGAGGAGACTCAAACAGTACACAGTACATAATACAATACACTGAAGGGCGATTTGGCCAGAGTGGAGACACCTGTGTGGAGTGGAGACACACCATCATAATCAGTATTTATTGGAGCTTAATACTGGGAACAAGAGACGTGAGACTACCAAAATAAAACAGGTCGAGCACAGGCATGATAACCAATAGAGACGACCTGACCAGTGGAACACAAGGCAAACCTGTACGCAAAAAATAAACAACCTAAGCATCGCCACGAGGATCATTAATAATAAACAAAACCCAAGAAACCAAAACGCTTGGTCAATGAACCAGGACCCAGGTGATATTTGGAACATCGCAAATAAATAGATTTGTGCAAGTCAGACAGTTTACGGGTCTCTGTTACAGCACTGGACTCATTTTTATTCACATTTGTGGACTCGTCGATAGATCTAGTAAAAAAAAAATGCCTGTTGCATGCATGACAGTTTGCATAGAGAACAAATTGCTGAACGTTCATCAGATCAAGGTTAAAGCTTTGCATGTGTCCTCCTTTATCTTACACTGGGCCTGGGTGAAGCGCCTCTGTTCATCTACTCACTGAAGAAAAACTGTTGTAGCTCCTTTCCCCTCCCTTTAGGATAGGAACTGCAAATGGGGTCAGCAACCTGTTAACCATATTAGAGATATTCCCTCATACAAAACCAAGAGTGAAAGAAAACTGAGCATTTAGAAAAGTCTGGAGCCTGAGCTTCTTAAACAGCTGGGTTTAAGAACTACTAGTTTGATGAATATGCATTTCTTTCTTTTTTTGGTCTGTCACCTCAATAAAAGAATCCAAATTTGGGCACACTTGCATTACATCTGCCAGTAAACGTGTGATCTTGGGATGTAACTCTCAATTTGCCCTCCAGCTGTGGTGGTTTGGGCAAGGCGGGAAGTCGTTTATACAGCAGGTTCGACCCGGGCTGACGCACAGATTCATCCATTCATTGCTTCATCATTTCACCAGACATCTCTCGCTCTCCTCTCCCACAGCATGCTGCTTACAGCTTCCTTTAACAGGCCGCCATTAGCACTGCTTTACCACATCATCATAACTCCACTACCCAGCATCCATCCTGGCAAGGGGTACAGTAACCTTCACTACACTTCATGTCTGTTAACCACCTGTTCTTGTGCTGTTTTGGGTTATCCTCAGTCTCATCTTATTCATCTGTTGCTTAATACATATAAATCTACTGAATTTATTACAGTTTTTAAAAAGATGTTTTATAAACTTTGACGTGGTAAGTTAAAAAGTTAAATAAAATTGGTATTGCAGGGAATAAAACAACTATATTTAAGTGGAAAAAAACTAAAATCATGTAAACTTTGTTTCCTGCCACACTCTTCATCTCACTCATGTCATTTTTATCTTCTCTCACATGATGACATGTTTCTTCCATCCAGTTTCTCTTGTCTCCTCTCTCCTGCCTCAGTTACATTCTTCTGCCCGGTAACTACACTCACCCTCTCCTCTTCCTCCTCCTCAGACCCTGGAGACCCAGATGGAGGAATGGTATAAGGAGGTAGGGCAGCTTCAGGTGCAGGCATCCTCCATCCCGCAGCAGACGCAGGTCAAGGAGACGGTTGCAGAGCGACAGGCCGCCGTGGAGGCCAGGATGGTGCGTTTGATCGAGCCGCTGAAGGAGAGGCGACGCATCCTGCTGGCGTCCAAGGAAGTTCATCAAGTTGGGCGAGACCTGGAGGATGAGATTGTGAGCTGACAACACAACCAGATTCACACTCACTACACAAAACACAGGAGTCGTGTTATTGCATGTTCTAATTTTGTTATTGTTACTTTTTTATCTATTTGTAATTGAGGTGAAATATACCAGGCTTCTCTTTAATCTGTACATGAGGTGTGGACATGCATGTTCACATATTCATACATGTACAAATATTCATTTCTTTTCGTCATACCATTGCGGTTGAAGTTGTGGGTCCAGGAACGCCTCCCGATGGCCATGTCTCAGGAGCACGGCTCTACTCTGCAGGCTGTGCAGCAGCTAATGAAGAAGAACCAGGTAAGAAAACCTGAATAGCTGCTAATTAAACTGAAGCCTTAGCCTGAAACCTTAACAGAGGTCCCGTTCCTCTTCACGATAGACCCCCTGCACCCTAAAGCTTTAAACGCAGAGCTCAAGTCACTAAATAACTGATGACTTGTGATAAAGATAATGTCCAGCCTCTGAGTTCTGATCCATCCGTTTACACTCTCAACATCTAAATAGCTCTTTCTGCCTGTGCTGTAGAATCTTCAGAGGGAGCTGCAGAGCCACAGGAGCAGAATTGATGATGTCCTGGAGAGGGCGGGGATCATTGGCTCCATACGCAGCCCTGAGGCAGACTGCATCAGGGCAGGTCACGACCAGCTGTCCCAGCTGTGGGCTCTGCTTTGGGCCGAGACTGAGAGGAGGCAGCTGGTCCTGGATGCCATGTACCAGGCCCAGCAGTACTACTTCGATACAGCCGAGGTCGAGGCCTGGCTGAGTGAGCAGGAGTTGCACATGATGAATGAGGAGAAGGGAAAGGTAAAATTATTTGTCTGAAATATTTATCATTGAAGTAAAAAAACAAACAAAACTCTTTAAAATCACAGGAGCCGTCTTACACACACAGTTCTCTGCAGAATATGCGATTGTCATCTGAATATGTGATACTGTGTTTGTTGGACTCTAATGTGAGCAGGATTTTTTACATGCAGTTTTATTCTGTGTGTGTATATTGCAATTAAAGTGTCATTTCTCGTGTGTTCTTCCTCCTCCTGCCAGGATGAGCAGAGCACGCTGCAGCTGCTGAAGAAGCATTTGGTCCTAGAACAGACCATCGAAGACTACGCTGAGACCATCGGCCTGCTTTCACAGCAGTGCCGGCAGCTGCTGGAGATGGGACATCCAGACTGGTGAGCAGTTAAACACATGCACAAAATCTGACAGAAATTTCTGTCACAACATCTTAAATACAGAAAAGCACCGAATCTCTGGATTATAAAAGGTTTTTCATCATTCACTTCAGTTGTGTTTTTATAGCAGTATTTCACAACAAGAGCTTTGTGTTATGAGGTAAAGAAACTTGAGAAAGAAAACCAACCTTAAAACAATCGTCTCTGATGAAGGGGAGAAAGATTTCTGTTATAACAGGAAGGAGGAGGCTCGGAGGCAGTCGTCTGCTGCCACCGTGTGGAGGTGTGAGAGGAAAGCAGAGAAAAGACAGACACAATCAGCAAAAAGTCGACGTTAATGACTTGCAGTAATGGAATAAAACCACGTGGGGAAAGAAAAAGAGGAGAGTGGGGAAGCACTAACTGATGGCGAGATCCTGATCCATAAATAATCCGAAAGGAAAGTTTAAATCCTAATCCTGAAAGTAGAAGCGATGTCTGTCTCTCGAGCTGGGGGAGGGGGGAGCAGTTACTTCTACACTCCTCCCAGCTTTTTTTTTTTTTTGTGCCTTACCTTACACTCTTCCTCCTCTCTTCCACAGCGAACAGATCAGCAAGCGTCAGTCACAGATAGACCGTCTGTACGTGTCTCTGAAGGACCTGGTGGAGGAGAGGAAGAGCCGCCTGGAGCAGCAGTACTGGCTGTACCAGCTCAACAGGGAGGTGGATGAGTTGGAGCAGTGGATCGCTCAGAGGGAGGTGGTCGCCAGCTCGCCTGAACTGGGTCAAGACTATGAGCATGTCACAGTAAGTGTGTCGACAGATGGCCTCTGCACATGAATAATAGATTCAGGTAACAGATTTTATTACCTGAAATTTAAATATTACAAGTAAAATCTCAAAAGGGGTTTCATTTGATTGTAATGTCTAATTATGTTCTTTATTTGACTTGAATGAATGAATGAATGAATGAATGAATGAATACATTAAAATTAGCAGACCGATTTGCTGCAGTAAATAAAACATGCCACACTTCCAGGTCCTACAGGAGAAGTTTACAGAGTTTGCGTCAGAAACGGGCAGCGTGGGCCAGGAGCGAGTGACAGCCGTCAATCAGATGGTGGATGAGCTCATCGACTACGGCCACTCAGAAGCAGCCACCATCGCCGAATGGAAGGACGGAGTGAACGAAGCCTGGGCCGACCTGCTGGAGCTCATGGAGACCCGCGGTCAGATGCTCGCTGCTTCACACCAGCTGCACAAATTCTTCTTCGACTGCAGAGAGGTAAGAGGAGCAAAGCCAAGACGGGCCACAAATTAAACGAAAGGACACACACACACACATATAATGCCGGATATGATAAAGAGCAGATCCATTTAATTTAATTTCACACTTTTATCTTCTTTTATGTCGGGTCACCACAGTGTACATTGGCCTTCGTGATGAGAACGGCTTGAAAAAGAAAGAAAATAGGAAAAATGTAAATCAGGTGCCGATAGAGCATTTCTGCCCTACAAACAGGCAAAATTTCTCCTCTGCCTTTTTTCAGGTTTTAGCCCAGATTGATGACAAACATCGAAGGTTGCCAGAGGTTCGGGCTCGGCAGGGCAGCACTTCCAACACCAGCACCCTGCAGAGACTCCTGCACACCTTCGAGCAGGACATTCAGCTGCTTGTCACACAGGTACAGCTGCACATCGATCAACAGAACATCCTCTAATCTTCATTTAAGGAAAAATTAAAGGAGAATTAAAGGAAGAAGATTGATGTTATCCATATTTGGTCTGCATGAATCTTTATAGAAACTTATTTAGTGATTTTTTTATTTGTAAATCAATAACAGATGCAATATGGCGAGTAGCTGTCAGGGGCTGGGTCTCTGAACCAGCGTTTTGTCTTATTTTTGTATTGTTTTCTTATGTTTACATTGTGCTCTGTTCATGAAATTCTGAAGTTATGTTAAGTCTTTGCTTTGTTATTGTCTTGAGTTGCAGTATAGTTTAGGTCCTTTTACGTCGCCTTAGTTATGAGTCTGTCCCAGTTTTCTGTGTCATGTATTTTCTGTCTGTGTGTTTTCATGTTGCTCATGTCATGTCCACGTTTCCTGTTTTATTTTGAAAGAGTCTTGTGTTCTTGGTTCTTTACGTTTAGTTTTACTCTCCCCTTTGTCATTATGTCTCATTCTAGTCAACTGTGTCCTCGTGTGTCTCCTCTTCCCCTCATCACCTCATGTGTGTATTAAAGTCCTCTGTCTCCCTTTGTTCATTGTCGCATCGTCTGTGTTACCTTCCCTACCCGTTGTCACAGTTTCCCAGTCAAGTCATAGTTGTTATCTTGTCTCGTCATAGTATAAAGTCACAGTGAGAGTCATAGTTTCCCAGGTTATGTTCAGGTTTTTCCTCACTTTAGCCTTGTTGTATTTTCGTGAGTTTTCAGCCCTAAATAAAGGCTTGCTTTTCGTTATGTCCAGTTTTTGTCTCCTCGCCTCTGTCTGCAATTGGGTCCTCTACTCCTCTCCACATGGTCTGCCCCGGCAGCCCGTGACAGTAGCTAACAGCCAGTTGTGCTACTGACTGCAAACAGTTTAAATGTGAAAGGAATAACATCTGGAATTTGAAAAAAAATAAATTAATCATTAGCATTGACTGTTAATATTGATTACAAAAGTGTAAATCACTTTTTGCATGCTATTTTAGAAGTTACCTGGCTAACTGAGTAATCCTAATTGGTGCAGTGCCCCCCCATGTGGATTTAAAAAGTAAAGAATATCAGTATATCAGACACTGAATCCAGAAATGATAGACTTTAATGCATTTTTATAACCAATAAAAAACACTGAACTGAACTAAATTATGTGAATTTGTTTAAATTAAATCAATTTCACATAAAATCTATTTCATTTATAGTAAAGTTTTTGGTTCTTTGTGAGTCTGCCATTTTCATGGCAACACCATCTTCTTACTCTGCATTTAATTTTGCTTGATCTAGTCTCTGTCGTGCACCTGGGCAGCAGGAACAGTGCTACGTTTTACTCAAGAAAGATGCAAAAGCACAGATGTTCTGTGCCTACTCAGGTGACAGAGCCTGCACCACTTGGCCCTGACGAAACACAGCTGTCTTGGCAGCTGTGTTTCGTGCGTCACTCGGAAAACAAACTCTCTCTTTCCTTTTTTCAATTCTGTTTCGTCCCTGTTCAGTTGAGCTGTTTACTAAAGCTTGCCTTCACGCTCTGCCAGGTGCGTCAGCTGCAAGAGAGCGCAGCCCAGCTGAGGACGGTGTACGCTGGCGAGAAGGCCGAAGCCATCGCGTGCCGTGAGCACGAAGTGATGCAGTGCTGGAAAGAGCTGCTAACATCCTGCGAAGAGTGTCGGGTGCAGATCACCACAGAGACTGACAAGCTGAGGTTCTTCGGCATGGTCCGAGATCAGATCATGTGGATGGACTCGATCATCTGTCAGATAGGGACAGGAGAGAAGCCCAGGTATCTACAATACCTTCTACATATGCATGTGGCACCCTGCATAGCAGCCTCAATATCTGTTCACCACATGCACTGTTTATGATCAAACTCATTTATTTTCTTTTTAAAAAAATGTACATATGAAATATCATTTTGCTTTTTATGGTTCATTATAATAGCATGTGATGGTCAGCATTCGTGGGCATAGTGAAAGTCTTCAGTGAGTTCAGGTTCTGTGTGGTTCCTGCAGGGACGTGTCCTCAGTAGAGGTGCTGATGAACTATCACCAGAGTCTTAAGAGTGAAGTAGAGGCTCGCAGTCAGAGCATCCTGGAGTGTATTGAGATGGGAAAAACCCTGCTGGCGGCTAGAAACCCTGCAGCTGAAGAGGTGAGATGAGTAAACATGATAAAGACTGTCACTTTAAGTGCAATTTAAACACGGATATCTAAACCTCAGTTTGTTTATAACTTTGAAGACTCTGGTTGAGTGGACTCACGAGTCGATTAGCCTCCTCTGCAGAGTCATATTGCTAGTTTTAGGCTCTACTAGAGGGGCTTTACATGATTCACTAAAATCACCCTTGTTTTTCGTGCTGGGGCTTGGTGCAGCTTCTCAATTCATCCTGTATCTCTGTTATAGCTCCTCCCCCTTTAAGGAAAAATTGTTCTAATTGGCTGCCTCTTGCAAACAGAAGGTTTGACCAGCAAGGATGTGCCTGCTATACAATGAAACTAAGTGTGGAAAACCAAATGAAGCCTGAGCTTTTTCCTCTTAATGATTACACGGATCTCACTGCACCCATGTGACAGTATATGCATGACAGAAAACTTTAGAGATGCATGTTAAGAAACATAAGGTTTTATATTTTATGTGTGAGAAGGAATCGATTCCCTATAATATTTCAATTTTTTCTGAGCATCCATAGAGCTAAACAGACCCATGATGTAATTGTGATATCTTTATTCTCAGATCAAAGAGAAGCTGGACAAAGTGATCGCTAAGGAGCGTGAGCTGTCTGAGAAGTGGGACAAGCACTGGGAAGTCCTGCAGCAATGTGAGTGGATGCAATGGCTTAAAAAGTAAAAAAGACAGGGATGTGCAGGAATCTGGCATTTAGAAGTAAATTAAGATGCTTTCTCTCTTTTTTGGTGTTCTTATTTGTCCTGTTTGCAGTGTTGGAGGTTCACCAGTTTGCCCAGGAGGCGGTGGTGGCAGAGGCATGGCTGACTGCTCAGGAGCCGTTTATCAACAGCAACGAGCTTGGAGGGAGCGTAGATGAGGTGGAACAGCTGATTCGTCGACATGAAGCCTTCCGCAAAGCAGCTGCCACCTGGGAAGAGCGATTCAGCTCACTGCGGCGGCTCACCACGGTATTATCATCATCCTCACTGTGCAAATATGTCCTCAGTTTAGACAAACTCAGTAGCACGTTCCAAACATGCTCAAATTGTTGATGAAGACTTGGTAGTTTCATCTCTGGTTCTGTTTTCTTTCTGCAGGTAGAAAAGCTAAAAGCAGAGCAAAGTAAACTGCCCCCAACTCCCCTCCTGGGTCGTAAAGTCTTCCTGGATCCCCAAGATGCCTCACATAGTCCACCCACTCTCCCCCGCCTCCCAGTCTCCCCCGTCATGAGGCAGACTATATATGAACAGAACGAAGCCAGCTCTCCTCCATCTCCCTCGCCGGCCACCCCAACACCTTCTCCGTCATCTGCAGCTCGGCGCCTGGGATCAACAGTCGCCAACTACACCCCTGTGATGAACGGCTCCAGCTACCGAAACACTCTGGATGTCCGGGATGGAGGCGTAGTGGGTGTGGCTGCAGGTCTAGGCCGCCCGGCTGCATCCTCGATTGCATCTATAGCCACAGCAGCGATGCTAGTGTCAGCCAACCAGGCACGAGAAAGTGCCAGCACAGCAAGGGAACAGACAGCAAAGGTGATGAGTCACCTGCATCCGGCACAAGCGGCGAGGGAAATTGAGGCAAAATCCTCCCCGTATCTCCGGCAACCCAAAATCAAACACTTAGATGATGCTGTGACGCCTCTGATTGTGGCCAGCCGGCTGGAGAAGGCAAGAGAGCGGGGGAGGGAGAGAGATATGATGATGGGGCCAGAGAGAGCAGAGGTAGCAGTGATGGCCGAGGTGGTGCTTCAGGAGCCGAGCCGGGAGCGTCTGCACAGCGAGCCCACCAGAGGGCCTCGAGGATCCAGGACTGACCCTTTGGGCCACGCTGAGCCTCAGGGCCAGACACACACTTATCACCACAGGATAGAACGGCAGCTGTCCAGTGAGCAGCTAATCCAGGCGCGCAGGGATGAGCTGCCTCAAGAGGTGTGGAGGGAACAGGCTGAGAGGCGGGAGAGACGGACGTTGGAGAGGCAAACTTCCAGCGAACAAGAAGGTCACGGGGGCCACGAGGGCCGGCGGAGAGAGAGGGACAGGCACCGGCTGGAGAGACAGGAATCCAGTGAGCACGACACAGGGAAGGAGCAATCAGACAGACGCTCAGCAGGAGGGTGAGACTGAGAGTACTGCAGTGCATTTTAATCTGGATGTGGATATTTATGCAGAAAAGAAGTGAATGTTATTGTAGTCAGTTTTTGGAGTTGAATCAATTGTGATGTGAACAGTAGGTATTTTTCCACAGAGACAAGAGGTCCACCATGGCAGAGATCGTAGAGCAGCTACAAGAAAGAGAAGCAGCGCAGGTCTGGGTTTAGTCTTTATAAATAAAGAGTGTGATATTTGGGGGCGTTTAGGGGTTAATTCTAAGTTTTGACCAAACTTCCTAAAAAGAGAAAACTGGGATAAGTAATAAAGTTTTTCACTTTTGAGCCATAACTCAAATTCATCGCCTCTCCCGACCCTTAGGCCCGCGGTGAGGTGCCCCGACTGCCTAATGGGATACCAGAAAAGTCTTCCCGCCCCGACCGCCCTCGAGCTCGGGACAGACCCAAACCACGACGCCGGCCACGACCCAAAGAGCCCGGGGAAACGACGCGGCGGTCCAGATCTGCACCAGCCCAGAGCAGCCCGATCGTCCCCCAACCGCCCACACATACGGCACACCACGAGGGCTTCCTTTTCCGCAAGCTGGACATTGAGAGCCTGAAGAAGAGCACCAATAGGTGGGTGTTCAGGGTCATAATGATACCTGATACCTGATAGGAGTTATAGAGAAGGAGGATGGACAGTGATGTCATGCGTATCAAACTTTAGGGATTCCAGTTAATCAATTCAAAGCTATTTATGTTCCACAGGGGTTATTGAGGTGCAGAAAAAATGATTGTTTCATCGACTTATTCTTAAATATTAGTTTGAACAAAGCATTTCCAGCCCTCTAAGTACCACTTTCTCATGACACTGCTGCTTCCTCCATTTAATAATTCAACAGGAGTGACAGAGGCATGACTTTAGCATGTTGAGCTAACAGGCTAACACACGGACATGTTGAACAGATGCATGACACACACAGGCTCACAGGTTGATTCCATCGTGTGTTCAACATGAAAATACTCAGAAGAGCTTTGGCGTTTCTCAGGAAATCTTACCTTTTTATATTTTTATTGAGATGAAGTTTGAATTTTTACCTTTTTCTCTGACATAAAAAAGTTCTAGACTGTCTTGTGTTTGTATGTGGTGGAAAGAAGGAGGTAGTCACAGTTTGTGGTGTTGCCTGTGCCTGGCAGTGGGAGATTACAGCTGTTTAGGGCTGGGCGATATATCGAGTTTTTAACCTGTCAGCACGCGCATGCAACCTCTGCTTGCTCCTAAGGTTTTCCTGCAATGAGGAGAAGTCATGTTAGCGTTGCCAAACAATGAATAATAAAATAAAAACTGAAGGAGTTATTTAACTAAAGGTTAAAAATGTGAGACAAATCAAAGCTTCTTAGTTCATGCAATAAAATGCTCTTTTCAGAACCTCAAAAACAGGGTTTTTACCTTTTTCAGGCCAAACTGAGCTACAGCTTTAGAATAATCACACAGCTACACTAACAAATTAATTTAGGTAGCAGTAGATGTTTTGCAAGGTAAATAACTGTTTTGGTCATTGCAGCTGGGTAAAGAGTAGTAGTTCTTTGCTGGAAACATCTGTCTGAAGGCAGGTATAGCTTAGTGTAATAGATTAAGATCCCCATTAGCTGCAGCAACACAGCAGCTATTCTCCCTGGGGTTGGAAATATAGTGGTGAAAATGTATTAACCTCCTAAGACCCGAACTCTTCCACAGTATGCATTTTTAATTTCTCTTTGATATTTGGGCATATTGGGGCCCAATGAATGTAAAAACAAAGAATTACAAGATTTTTTTTACCTTATTTTTGTTTTTAAGAAAAATAAGAGCCACATATCAGGATATTTGTTTAAAATTTTGATAGAGCAGTAGTAGTATAATGTCCTCGTAAGTGGATATCAGGACCATGTAGAGCAAAATTGACTAGTTTGGGTCTAAATAACCCAAAATGTGATGTCCACATATGTGGACGCCAGGTCCTAGGAGGTTAAATATACCCAGTGTTGGGAAGGTTACTTTTAAAGTGTATTCCACTACAGATTACAGAATACATGCCCCAAAATGTATTTTGTAACGTATTCAGAATACGTTACTCAATGAGAGTAACGTATTCTGAATACTTAATATATTATCATACTTTTTACAACTACATGAATGTACTATTGCTGTGTGGTTTATTACTATTACTGCAGGTTACTCGCCATACCAATACTAACTAGATGTTTCAATCTTAATATAAATGAGTAACAGTAGGGTGGACGTTAGGTAAGGCTGCACTTTTAGCAGCGATCTCGTATTAAAACTATTCTGCGTGTATATAAAACAGGTTTGCGGCTCCGAACACTCTGCCTATTGCCTTTATATTAAATAATTTTTGAACAATAATTTTAAAAAATATTTCTTCATGTCATTATGCGGGCCTCAAGTAGAGCTGACATGGGCCGCAGGATTGAGACACAGACATTAGAGCCTCTTAATGCGTGTTTTGTTTGGGTTTCCGCCAGCGTGGAATTACCAGAAATAGAGAGGGCATAGCCGAACATATGAAACAGGAGAAGACCGCTGTGTAATTTCTTTATTTCAACAAAGTAACTGTATTCTGAATACCACCTTTTTAAATGGTAACTGTAACGGATTACAGTTACTCATATTTTGTATTTTAATACGTAACGCAGGTACATGTATTCCGTTACTCCCCAACGCTGAATATACCATACAAACTAACTTTGGCTCTTTTACATTTTGCTGATGACCATGTCCGACATGGTTTGTAAATGCATTTTATACTGATAAGTCTGCACATGTAGTGAAGGACCTGAAGGCTTACTGCACATTTCTGCTATAAAGATCTTCGTTCATAGCAGATACTGAGATATCGCCCAGTCCTCCAGTTGTTAATTTGTACCGAAGAGTAAGAAAATCAGTGATGAGTACATGAAGCAGGAAAAGGATTCACTAATGTAAATCTTATGTCAGCCTCTGAATATATTATGTCTGTCAGTGCTGATTATTAGGATGTAATTAGAGCACTTTATTAGATCAGAGGCCTGCAGGATTCCCACCGCATGTGAAAACTTCATGCATGACGCTTACGATGCCTCCTGATCTAACGCGAGCCCACAGAATAAAACACAGGAGACTGACTGACTGGCTGAGGAATGCTGTGGGATGGAGCTGCTGGTCAAACACACACACTTATGCACACAGCCTGCCCTCCACTGATGACCACCCTGCTTCTTCCAGAGAGACACCAGCAAGAAAGTCTCTCTCTGCACTGCCCCCTGAGGGCTGGGCTGACCTTGCACAGCTAAAAGCTCATCCCCTCCCAGCTGTGGATGAGTCCCGCTCACGCACCTACTCAAGGCAATGGATGAGTGTGTCGTATGTACATGCCCTGTTATGTACATGGCAAGGTAAAGCACAATGTCGAATGGCTTAAATCCAGACAAGTGTGAATCTCCAAAGTGCTCCTCGTTGTTAGCGGTTGATGCCGAGAAAGAAAGCGAGGATGCATTTAGGGAAGGACTGAGATTCAACCTGTCTCTGTTACATCTCTACGCGATGAGACACTAAGTAAGTTGATGTGCACATTAATATTCTGGTACCTTGTTAGGGTATGGTGCCTGTGAAAGGTGTATGAAAGTGGACGACAAACTTCCACATCTATGCTTCGCATTAAATTGAGATTACAGCTGTGAGCGCATTCACATGTCAAATTTCCTCTGAAAACGTTTAAACTTCTTCCCGAGGTGTCCTGTTCATAATGTACAGGAAGAGAAAAGTAATATCTGCTACTGTAAACTAGGAAAATACATTAAAAAACCCACACCAAGGAACAGAGATATTAAAAGAAACAATTTTTTACCTCACGTGTTTTTTTACCTCCAACTCTTCCCAACAGTTTTGGCTCTTCCTTATTAACTCTTTAGTTTACCGCTCCTTTAAGCCATTTTTCTTCTGCCTTGCAAAGCAAAGCTCTGGATGTGGTTGGAGATGACCACGTCGGGGATATCTGCACTCCCCGCCATCACACAGAGCCAACAATAGAAAAACATTTCAAGAATGAACTTTTAATAGGTGTTGTGAGCAGTTCAGACATCACTTATCACTTGCACCATTGGTTTTTTTTGTTTTTTGTTTTTTTTTCCCGTGTATCTACTGTTGAGTTTGAAATCAGGATATTAAGCTGCACACGGAAACTTGCTCTGAATAATACTGGCAGTACTGTGCAAATGTTTTAGTTGCTAAAAGTAAAAGGAGAATGTTTAAAATAAAACAATACAAAGTGAAGTAAACAAAAATGAAACTTCTTTTTAAGGTCTGTGGAGATTTGCCACAGATCATCTGTGGAGCCTGGCTGTCTCTTTATGTAATCTCACACTGGCTTCCACACCATCTGCTGCAGAACTCTTTGTTCTTCTTGTGGCTGAAAGTTGCCCTTAAGGACTCTGACTGTGTGTCTGGGCGACTGAAGATAATAATAAAAAACAAGTTCCTGAAACTTGTGCACAGTACTGCCGATGTCAGCTATTAACTGGAATGCTGTGTGCATGTAAACACGCTCACAGAGGGAAAACGAGCATGTCTGGATTTTAAGCCGCGTTGTTGCCAAAATGGCATTTTAACCAAACTCCTCTGTCTCTTTTCTCCTCTCTTCCTCGGTGCTGCTGGCTGCTCCTCTTGTCTCCTACAAGGTAAGTCACATGTAAGCCTCGCACACAGGTGCACACAAGCTGTACGTAGCCTTCCTCCCCATACCTCCATCCCCCCACCTCCTCCGTCTGTCTGTCCGTCCGTCTGCGTTTGTTCAGCAGTGTGTTTCCTCTTCCCTTCTTGGGGCTGCTTCATCCCGCCTACCTACCTGTCTGCTCTGGTCAGGTGAGTGAGGTGTTAGTGTAGCGACTGTGATTCTGCAGCTCTTCCTGACTCCTCCTGTCCTCCCCCACCCCTCCACCCAACCTCCTTCCCCATGCTCCTCTTTTCCTCCCACCTTTCCCTCCTCTTCTTCCCCTCCCTTCCTCTCCCGCCTCCCCCCACCACAGCAGATCATGGGTCAACCTGTACTGCGTGCTGAATAAAGGGGAGCTGGGTTTCTACAAGGACGCCAAGAACACCACGACGCCCTACAACAACGAGCCGCTGCTCAACCTCTCCCACTGCCACTGCGACGTCACCAATGGCTACAAGAAGAAGAAGAACGTCTTCACGCTCAAGTAATCGGCTGTTTTCGCACTCACATGTACTGCAGACAGGCACTTGCATGCTTCACGTTAGTGTGTTTTCACTCTTTAGGGCCTGGGCCAGATTTGATCTAGTAAACCCATTGTACATAATTCTGGTGTTCCAATAGCTAAAAACCTGCTTCTAGACAAAAAAGGTCACATTTTCTTTTAGTTTTCAAAAATATGACACTTATAATCTTTCCAAACTGAAATGAAACAACGCTTTCTTCCATTTTTTTGGCCATGAATCGTTAGCATCCTGCTAATGCATGCTGATTGGTCAGCTAAGGATTCACGATGTGATGAGCTCCCTCGATGGAACCTGTTTACAGACGATAACTAGACGTTAGAAGCGTAGTTAAACCACAGCTGAGAGTCGTGTTTCAGAGGCAGCTGGTTGAAGGTGACTGAGATCAGAAGGCTGTTTACTTCATCTCTGAAATTAAAAAAGCAAATGCCTTAAAGTGTCTGACACCTCATAATAATTACAGAAAGATATTTTACTAAAATAGAAATCTAAAAATAGAACACATGATACAGTGAGGGTGAAACATCTTTCCAAATCTTAAAGAAGAACTTAAAGTAGTCTAAGCTACACAGACACGGGGTTTCCAAATTGACCTAAGTTAAATTTTAGTTAAGTAAAAGTCAGAGCAGTAGCAAATGACTCGCGCTTTTCCTCTTTTCCACACTGTCGTTCTGTGGCTCACAGATGGGGCCCACCCCACAGTTTGGGGACCACTGCTCTAAGGCTGAGTTTAACTCTTCTTCTCTCTTTGCAGAACGAAGGACGGCAGCGAGTTTTTGTTTCATGCAAAAGATGAGGTGAGACATTTTTTCTGTTTCCTGCACGCCTCAGAATAGTGAAAGCAGCTGTAACTGTGCATCTGCACGTCATCGAAAACCTTAAAAACATTCATGTTAACAACTGAACCGGCCAGCTGACATCTGTGCACCCCTCTCTCCCATCGCAGGACGACCTCAAAACGTGGGTGACTAATATCACCGCCAGTATTTCAGAGCACGAGGAGATTGCCAAATGGGGTCAGCCCCAACCAACTACCTCATCCACCGACGAGGGCACGCGCCGCGACGGGAGCAAGGTGGACAACAGGTCAGAGCGCGGCGGCGAGCGTTCGGACCGGGGTGACCGAATCGAGCGTGCTGAGAAGGAGAAGGAACGGGACAGAGAGAAGGAGAAGGAGAGGGATAAAGAGAAGGAGAGGGAGAGGGGCGAACGGTCGGAGAGGTCAGAACGGGCTGGGAAGTCGGACGCAAAACGATCAGAAAAGTCCAGTAAGAAAAAATGAGCTTGGACGGGAGCTGGGATTGAAGCTCACAGTATGAACTCTGGCTGGGAGGCGGGGCCATAAACTGGTTGCGAACGCCCCCCTCCTCCTCTTCGCCTCCAACACTGTCAACAGAGCAGTCGTGTTTGGATGGAAATCGAAGGTTTGACCCGGGCTCACTCATAGGACAGACGGGACGGATTTGATTTGGAGCAGGAGACACCTCTCTCGCTCTCCCCCTCTATCTCTCTCTCTCTCTCTCTTCTGTGTCTCTGTGAGAACGCACAGAGTCACCGACGCCCCCTGGCGGCTGTTTCGGAGAACTGCCTGAGAGCAGGGTGGCGTTTTGTGCTGCGGAGCCCCGGGCAGCGTCGCCGCGAGAGAGAGACGGGACGCGCATCACGGTCAACGGGAAGGCTGTTAGGCTGACGGCTGGTAGAGCGATAAAACGTAGCTCATGCTGTTCCATGTTTGTTTTTTCTATGAGACGAGCTCCGTCTGTATGTATTTCTCGTCTGTGTGTCCTATTTACTGTATATATCTGTCTGTAAGTCGAGACATCCTACACTACGTCTTATTACTCCTTGGAAATACAAACAGAATGAAATTATGCCAAAATGTTTTACAGACCTTCTTTTACTTTCTCCGCTGTATCCCATCTGTCTGGAGGTCTGGCCATGAAAACATGTAGAAATTCTAATAGTTTTACTTGGATAACAAACTGCACTGTAAACACACGCGTGCACTTGCCCTGGATGAGTCAGCACTGATCTCCAGGTTTGTGCTGACTCTGTTTAAGAGAAGAGAAGAGTAGACGTCGGTCTTCAGAACTTTGTTACGCACACAAAAAACAAGAAGAAATGTATCAAATCAAGATCCCAGGGCATACACAGCAGTTTCCCTTCCCTTGGGTAGGATTTTATTTTAGCATTATAGATTTTCTAGTGAGCAGTAGGTGGTCAGAAGAAATAAAAAGTCTTGTTCCCAGGGGCCTCATTCATTAAAACGATTTTAAAAGTGGACCTCTTGTAGTTTTATTTATATTCTGTCATATATAGACTTTTACAGTGGTAGATAAATGCTCATATTAAACACGGGGCAGGTGGGTATTCCTAGTATGATCATTGGCCTTAAACAGGTGGTGGTTTAAGTTTAAGAGGTCCACTTAAATTAATGAATAAAATAGGAAAAAATCTTTATTTTTGATATTTCTAATAAAAATGAAACCATTCATTGTCATCTGCTTGTTTTACCATCTAGATCAGTTTTTCATGATTTGGTCATAAGCACAAAATCTGCATGTTTTTAATGAATGAGGCCTTCAGGGATGAAAACAGGCCTCATCTACTCTTTTATTCTCTTACAACATCAAACTACTGGATATTCTCTTTGATTTATTATACATACAAATTTGTTTTTATACAGAGTTTAAAACAAAATC